GACCATTTGCAAACTCATCAGAAGCGCTCTCTGGCCTTCTGTGAATAATCTGCTGGAGGGTCAGCTGGAGCTGTGGAATCTGACGGAGGGTTAGTTAGCCACTTGGGAGATGTTACCAAGATGGCTGGTGATCAGAAGAGCTGCTTATTTTCATAATGACCTTCAGGAATTAAATAAAAATACAATGAGTGCCATAGATTAGGAAGAACAAGCCAATTAAAAGCACAACACGCCTTCGGGAATTTTTATTTCTTTTCCAGGAGGCTGAAAGGCATCTGTGGCTGCTGAGGCAGGATGGCGGTCTACCCAGAATCACTGATGAAGGCTGATCCGCTCACTTGGCTTTAGCGGGTGGTTGAGGGGATTTGAGCCTATTGAATATTTCACGAGTTGCAGCCCATGGGGGGAGAACAGAGAAAGGTGAAAAGGCAATCCCTGTGTTTCTTTATGATTCCAATATAAAACCAGGCTATCCGAGGTGGGAGGGAGGCAGGCAGTGGAGTCAGCCTACCGCCGGAAGGCATGGCGCACCAATTCTCCTACTTTAATATCTGCTGTTTCGTTTTATATTCATCATGTCAGCATAATCTGCCTTTATGGGAATCGTCTTGGTTCCCAACCAAATGCGTTTAGTCCCCCTTTTGCTTTAAGTTTGATTGTAATGTGACTTGAAGACTTCAATGAAATGTTTATATGGAAGGACTAGGGGAAGAGGTTGGGGAAAATGCAATTGGAAAATCAATCAGCGGGGAATTTCAGGAGCTGGCCTTGGTTATGCTAGTATTTCTTTGACCTGTTTTTAATGGACAAAGGACTGGCGCTCTGATCAAGTGTACTTTGCTGATTCCCGACCGCATGCAGAAGAGAGTACACTGTGTCGCTAGGGACTCAAAGCCCTTAACCCTGTGTCTGAAGTACATTTCCAGCTGACATCCCACCACACTCCTACTTGCACATGCGGTGTTAGTACCCTGAAATACCCAACTGCCCAGCCTGTCTCCATGCCTCCTCTCTCTGAAGGCCAACAATATTTGCCCATTCTTTGCAACGTTCATGTCACCATGTTTTTAGAGTGGCTCCTTGTCTCTAAGCTAGGAGAGTCCTGTCCCACCTTCAGATTCCCAGTGGAGCTTACTTACTCTTTCTTTAATACTCTAGTGAGGTTAAACTCTACCTCCGTAATCTTATTATGGATATGTGTGTGTGCATGTATTCATCATTGGCAATTCAGTAATTTTTTCTTGAGCACTTGTTATGCGTGGCGCACTTTTAAAAGTACATGAGATATGGCAGGAAATCCCTGCTCTCCTGGAGAGGCAGGCATTAAATACATGTTTAAGAAAATGCATAGGATTGGGGCACCTGGGTGGCTCTGTTGGTTTAGCATCCGACTCTTGATTTTGGCTCAGGTCATGATCTTGCAGTTTGTGGGATTGAGCCCCATGTCAGGCTCTGTGCTATCAGCGTGGAGCCTACTTGGGATTCTCTGTCTCCCTGCCCCTCCCCCACTAGCGCTCATGTATGCTCTCTCTCTCAAATAGATAAACTTAGAAAATGCACAAGATTAATTTAAATAGTGATAAGTGCTATAACAAGTTTTTGTAAAGGGGATACCAGAGAGTGTGATGTGTGTAGAGAGAACTTTAGCTAAAACTGGCAGAGCCTCTCTGAACAGGTGTCACTTGGTCAGGGAGACTAACACCGAGGAGAAAGTGGTTTGCAGGGTCTGGGAGGAGAGTTCCAGACAGACAGGAGAAAGAGTCCTTCTTTCCTGAGACAAGAGTAAGAGTAAGCCTGGTCTGTTTGAGTAATGGTTGTAAGTTTGCAGGGCTGGAGCACATGAGGAGGGGATCAGTCAGAGTAATACGCAGATTCTGGGCCACAATAAATGGAGAGTGTGTGCATGTGTGGGCAGGGAGATGCCAGATGGGCAGTGGGTAGAATTTCTGCCACTAAAGAAAGGACTGAGCTTCCTGAAGGCAAGATTATGCCTCATTTCATTCCATGTTCTGAACTACTAAAGTACTCACAATTGAGTAGGCCCTCAATGAAGTGTGTTGAATGAGTGAATAAACAAACACAAGCATGAATGAATGAATGAGTGAGTGAACGAATGAATGAGGGAATGAATGATCAGGCCTTCTGCTTCCGCCAAGGTGGTTTTCTCTTTGAGGCTCCATGGCCCTCCTCCCCGCCTCAGCAACAGTTTCCTTCCTTTGTAATAGAGTGAGTCCAGAGCTGATCTCCGTGATTCAATATTTACTGTGTTTCACACACTGTTATTATCATTTAACGTTTACTGTCTGCTGACTGTGCACTCATCGCTGTAGCAAACAAAGAGCTCAATCTAGTTTTGGTTCATGGGCTAATTTAGTCAAGGAAAAGGAGATGTTGTAAGAGCTACCGGCATAGTAGAAATTGTGTGGACTGGAAGTCCACTGGGTCCATCTGGGCATACATTCACCAGTGGCCTTAAGTGAGTGACTCACCGTCTGTGACCCTCCGTTTCCTAATCTGAACATGAGGAGGACAGGCTTCTTCAATGGTGGGATTTTGAGCACAGGCTGGGGAGGGAGAGCTCCAGGAGTGAAGAGTGCAGATTTTAGCCAGCGCTCCTTCACTGACTCTGCCTCCCCTGTCCCAGGCTGTGTCGATCAGATGTGGCACTGTAAGTGCCTGGCGGTCCATTGGCACAAGGGTCCTTTTTTTCTGGAGCTGCTGAATGAGAGGCAGCCATTTCCAGAGGCAGCTTGTAGCCGTGGGTTCTCTGGGCCTCTGGTTATAGGTTTTAATGCCCTGGGAGAAATACGAGTGAGGTACTGAGCAAGGCCATTTACCATGTCTTCACCTTGCTTCGGCCCAGCTGGCTGGCTGCCAGAGACGTTGCTGCCAGGGCTTTGGGTGCTGAGGCCAGGAGGTGGGGCGGTGTGTGGAGAGAAGGTGCTGGGAAGAGGCCCACTTCACAGACTGGCCACCCAGCCAGCCTCTCCCGTGGCACCCCACAGTGAGCTCTTAGGGTCCTTGTGATGGTCTCCAGCCCTGCTCAACTCTTAGTGCATCCCAGGTAGGTTTTCACTTGGACTTGTAACCCCCTGTGTTCTGGCCACCTTGTCTTTTACTTGGAATGAGGTGGGAGGCTGTTGACGGTTTGGCGCTGAGGGCTGATGGGAGCTAACAGGTTCTGGCAGGGCTCCTCTGGTTTCTGTGTGGGAATGGACAGAAGAGCAGAGAGGCAAGAACGGAGTCCAGTTAGGAATGGCTTGTAGTAAGTCAGGCAAGAGAGGGTGGTACCTTGGCCCAGGTGGTTGCAAGAGAGGAGCCAAGAAGGGAAGGGACTTTGGGGTGGCTTTTGAAGGATTTCCTGGTGGACTGGAGGAGGAGAGGGAAAGAAAGCAAGCAGTCAAGGATGTCTCAAGGATTTTTTTTTCAGAGCAGCTGAAGGGTAAATTAGATCCTGTGCCTGTTAATAATAATAATGATAATAAATATTAATAGCTACCTTTTTATAGCACTTATGAAGTGCTAGATGCTCTTCCCTAAGGACTGTTGATTGTGAACCTCAAGGAGTTAGTCTATGGGGGGTGGACGATGCAAGAATAATTCAGTAGAATTTGGTGAGCAAACATCATCTCTTCAAGGTGACTCTGTTTCCTTCAGTGTCGCCAGACTTGGCGGGGGTTGTAGTGGGGCATAGGGCGAGCTGACTGGAAACGAAGTTCTAACTCTGTTTCCCCACCAACCCTCCTTAAGTGTGTGTGTGTGTCTACACACACATGTATATGAGGTCTTTGGTGACTATGGGAATACGACCCCTAGGTCAGCTCTGTAGTGCAGAGCTCCAAGCTCCAGACATCATTACAGCTACTTGTCTACGATGGAGTGTTTTCGTCTCCTATGGTAACCCTCGCTTGAATGAAGTCCTGGAACCCTAACAACCTTCCCCTTTCTTCATAAGATACCCTGATAGGCCTTTGTCCTTCTAGGACATTTCCAGGGACATATTCCCTCTAGTAGGCAACATTATGAAAAGATTGTATGATCTTGGTACAAGGACACTTCTTTTAAGTAATCTCTACACCAAAGCGGGAGCTCAAACTCACAACCCCAAGTTCGAGAGTCGCATGCTCTACTGCCTGAGCCAGCCAGGTGCCTCCAGTGCAAGGACACTTCCTGAAAGCTAATGCTGTCACCCTTCTTATTTAATAAGAGGCTATGTTGGTACTGAATGGAAGTACTATTAAAATAATAATTTAGAGGTCAGGTGACTGTAGCTTGCTAGGAGGTTCTAACTTCCCCTTGGTCATGGGAGAACATTAGTGTAGGGCAGTGACTTTTGAAGTATTTTTAAGCCATGGAAACTTTGTGCCAACACTCCCTTGCTGGGGGTGCAGTATATACACTAGCAAAAAATGGGGCTTCTCTGACTGAAGCAGGAGAAATAGGCTCAGAACAACCCCTTTGCCAAGCTCCTTTCCTATAAAGAGTAATTCTGAGGCACCCAGGCTGGGCCACATGTTCTCTTGGGCCTTTCCAGCTCCGGGGTTCTGCAGTGATGCCCTGACGCTTCCAACTCAGCTTTTAAAGAATTCACACTCTAAACCCCTGCTCTTCTCATGGATGGAGATGTCTTCCCTTCATCGTCTTCTAGTTCCACGGCCTCAGGAGAATGTAAACTCTTGACTCTCTTGCTTAGATTGATTCTGCTCACTTTGATTGAATGGACTGAATTGCCTCATCATGGATGGTGCTATACACAAGGACCCCAGACAGACTGGGTTCAAATTCCGTCTCTTACACTTTGTGGCTTGGGGAGATTCTTGGCCACAGTTGACCACGTACAAATGGAAGCGATGGTGTCCGGCTCATAGATTTGATGGATGGAAAGGCATCCAAAGTAGGTGCCTTCTGATCTCCTGAACATGTGTGGCTCTTTCCCTCCCTGGAAAACCAAGGTCCAGGCAATGCCGCTCACCCAGCACCTTTGGTCTTGTCTTACAGAGATGTCTGGCACCGCGGCGGACATCTCGCTGGTGCACTGGAGACAGCAATGGCTCGAGAATGGCACCTTGTATTTCCACGTCTCCATGAGCAGTGCCGGGCAGCTGGCCCGGGCCACGGCGCCCACACTCCAGGAGCCTTCAGAGATTGTAGAGGAGCAGATGCACATTCTCCACATTTCTGTGATGGTGAGTGAGGGGGAATGCCGTAAGGTGCTAGGGGATGGAGAGGGTGAGTTGGGGAGACTGTGGAGGGAGGCAGGGGTTGCCAGTGGCAGGTGGAAGAGAATTGGCTGAGTGCAAGAGGTTAGAATGATAAGCAGAAGGTCAGGTGGATTCTGTGGTGTCACTTGGACTGATGCATACCCATCCATCATCTGTCAGCTGTGACAAACTAACTGTGCTTCAGAGAAGAGAATAAAGGGTCTCCAGCTCCTTGGCCTTTTGGCCGACATCTCTGGGAATAGCTGTTTAACATCTGTCACGTGCTTGGCCTGTTCCACCGAGGGCTGAGGTTCAGTGCTCCAAAATACAACTGGCCTTTCCAGGAATGACTGAACAAACAAAATCGGAACAGAATTGGAGCAGGGCTGCCCTTTCCCAAGTGCCTTTCATAGGCCAGGTGCTTTGACCCTCACAATACCCTCTGCAGTGTAGATTGTACATGGTGACCCTTGGCGCTGGGCTAGGCTTAGCCATAGTCACACATCGAAGCCCCTCCATTACCCTCCTGTTGTAGTTGTGAATACTGAGTCGCGGGGGCAGAGAAACTTTACCCAAGGTCACATAGCTAGTAAGAGACAGAGATGCTCTTGGGCACTCGAACCCCTAAGCATGTCTGACTACAAAGCCTGAACTATGTCCTCCACACTATTTCTCTCAGTGCAAGAATTTATTGACTGTCCAAGCGTGTGTCAAGCACTGTGCAGGGCACATTTAAGGACATTATCTCATTGCATTCTCACCAAGAATGCGTGGAGTCAGGCACGTCACCTCCATGTGAGAGATGAAGTTACGGGCACAGAGAGGTGAAGTGGCCTTCCATCTCTGTCGGCCCTATGACCTGGAGCTCTTGGAGTCTGCTCTCTCTTCAGAGAAGGCTGTTAGGGCTTAAATCACTTGAATGGTGGTCTAAAATGTATGTAGGCTCATATTAATGGTTTCTTCAAAAAGCTGTAGTTAATGGCTCTGCATGGTAGATAGGAAAAAACAAATTCATTATGCAGAATGTACAGGGTCTAATTGGCTCAAGAAGAGATCTGATAATAGCTACAAGTGACATCCCCCTAGTGCTTTTCACTCTTCAAGCCATTATTTTCTCTTGTAGCACGGCTCTGCCGAATGCGTAAGGATAGGAAATGTGATTCCCAATCTACACGTGAGAAAGGTATGGCTCAGAGAGGTGAAGAATTTGGCATAAGGCCACTCAGCAAAGCAGCACTACTGTGCACTCCTGTATTTTCCATTCAACAGTCAGAAACATTTATTGAGAATCTGTACTGGGGACAGACCTTTGCTCTTGGTCTCCAGTCTCCTGGTTCCTCTTCACCGAACACTGTGCATTAGACATTCTGATTAGGGCTGAGTAAGAGCTTGGAAGTTTTCTCTTTTTGGAAAAACACACACATACCCCAGCCAGACAGCAGTGTTAATTTTGGACCTAACGCATGCTTATCACGTGGAAAAACAAATCAAGGCCTTTGTGTTATTCACGGAATGAGTGCGATAGACTTTTCCCATATATATATTTTGCAAATGATGCAGCCACATGCCAAGCCAAGTGAGTGCCTGCATGCTAACTTTGGGGTGCAACTGTTTCAGGGTACTTGCTCAAGAGTTCACGGGGCATGGGACACCATCTGATGCTAAGAAGACTCGAGGGGGCGTGACTTACTTTTTTCATGTTGGAGAGTGAGACTCCGTTTTTGATTAATATTTATTAAGCATTTTCTGGATTTGGCCTCACGTTTACTTGTCTACATCCTTCCCATAGCCCAGTAACCTAGATGGTATAATCTCAATTATAAATGAGCCCTGAATGGACGTTCTCTGCTTCCAGGTTCAGTGTTACTTCCACTAAATCACACTCTGTCTCCAAGGACTGTAGGTGTTCTTCACCTTTTTATTCTGCTCAGTGAGTTCAGCTTGGAAAGGAGAACTCATCAAGACCCACACGAATCTGGAATTCAAGATGTGGCTGGCAGAGTAGGCCCTGTGGAGGTTGGCACAATCCAGATCTTCCCTGCCCTCACACTAATGTGGCCCAAGGCTACCACCTTGTGGTCCCGCCAGTTCTTTTCCATCTTCAGGGCTCCAAAATCTGGATCTTTCCTGTCCTCACCTTACTACCTCTTCAGGAGATAGAGTCATGTCCAGGAAACCTTGAACCCCAAGGCATTTGTTGATGGCAGCCCGGCTTCTCTGAGGTGAGGTAGGGTGACGTGGAGGTTCATAATAAGCACAGGTTCCAGAGCCCGAGTGCCTGGGTGTAAAGTCCTGCTGTGCCGCTTACCACTCTGGATGATTTTGGACAAAGTTTTAAATTCCTCTGTGCCTTGTTTTTGTCATCTGTAAACGAGGCTTCCACCAATACTTACTGTGTACGTACACCGAGCACTTGTATCAGAGGGCTTGGCACCTAAGACCATTAGCTCTTATTCTTAGGGGCTCACTCTTTCTTTCTTCCTTCCTTCCTTTCTTTCTTTCTTTCTTTCTTTCTTTCTTTCTTTCTTTCTTTCTT